CACACACACACACACACACACACACACACACACTAGCTCAAAGATCTGTAAAGAAATAGAGGGCATACCTGTGAGCAGTGGGCATGGCCCTCACTCCCAGGCCCTTCATCTGTACAACAACATTGGATCTAAACCCCCTGGGTCTAGTCCATGCCACCGTCCCCCACATTCTAGCAGCACCCTCACCATGACACCACAGGGTGTGTTCACTTCCCTGAATCTAACAGCTGGAAGGGAACCTAAAATATATACAGCCCAACCCCTCCTGAAGGGGGCAAATGAGGCTGCAAGGGGGACCAAAGAAGTAAGGAGCTTGCCAGAAACCTCAGAGCCCTGGGATGTAGAACCCCATGTCCTTGGACTCCCAGTCCAGTGCTCCTTCTGCCTTCTGGGGTGGCAGGGCCAAAGTGGCCCTGCCTGATGAGCTGCACTGTGTGGTGGGCAGAGCGGCCCCCAAGCTCAGGTTCCAGAGGCAGACAAATGCCAGCTTGGCTCCCAGCTGGGCCACGTACTGAGCACACAGGCTAGAGCATCACCTTGTCTTCTCTCTGAGACGGACTTTGCCATTTTTCCATGGGTTAGAGCTGACAATATGCCCTTCACACAATAATCGTACCCGTTAAATGAGATAATGTATCTACAGTGCTTAGTAGAGTGCCTGGCAAATAAGCCACTGCTCCACAAATGTTTCTGCTAGAGAATAAATAAAGGCCAAGGGACAGGCGTGGGCTGGGTGCCGGTCTGGTCATGAGGGCAAGAGTGACCTGTCGGCCCGAGGAGCCTGAGCCTCCTTTCTGTTTTCTTTTGAGCTTGGTTTTGAGGGAGCCCTGGAGTTGGCCTGGACAGAGCCCCTGGTAGTCTGGGGCAGGAGGCCTGGGAAGCCAAATGAAAGGGACGAAGGGCTGAGGCTGGGGCGAAGCCAAGACAAACTGTGAGGACAAATGGGGTGGTGGAGGCCAAGGCGCATTCTGCAAAAGCTGTTTGCACAGCTGGAGCCAGGCGCTGTCAGGCAGAGAACACCCCTCTTCTGGTCCTTGGGAACTTCACCTTGGGCCCCATCAGCCACAACCAGGGAACCCCCCGCGCCCCCGGGTCTGTTGGGCCCTGCATCCTAGTTACTGTGTCTGTGTCACCCCTCCCCTGGAGGGCGTGGCTCCCCAGGGCAGGATCCAGGCCTGAGGGCCTCCTGGGTCACCGTGGTGGTGAGGCAGGCAGGGCCCCTGCCCTCGCTGCACTCCACGCTGCTGGAGAGACCAGACACAGGGTGGCTCTGTGCAGCCAGGCTGTGGGGACACAAGGAGGGAGCAATAAACTCAGCCCAGGCAGATGGGGGTGTGTAACTCCCAGAGGGGAAAAAATAACAACATGAGCCGCCTTCCTGCCTGAATCTTGGTGATGGGGAAGGGAAGGCAGACATGTTTCTTGCAAAAGCAGAGGGAGAGAGAGTTATTTTTCAAAGGGTGTTTGACAAAGAGTGAAGGATTTTCCAAACACAAAGAACAGTAGGTGCAAAGGCACAGAGGCATGGTCAAGCGGGGTGTATACAGCGGGGTCCAAAGAACTACAAAGGACAGGGGGTGGAGGCGGCCCTGACAGCAAGAGCCAGGGTGGCTGGGGAGAAAAGCAGTGCATCTGGGCTGAGCAGAAGGGTCCAGGCAGTGGGGACCATGACAGAAGCTTATGACGGTTTACATGTTGAGTAAAGAACAAATGGATAAATGAGCATGTAAAATATAAGACCCTCCCGTGCCGGGGGGGCAGCCATACTAGATGGATCTTGAAACGTTGCAGGCCTCTCTGGCCCCAGGACCTTTGCAATCGCTGCCCCCTGCTCCCTTCTGCTTGGGGCGGGCCTGCTCCTCCTCCAGGGTGGAGTGTGATTATTACCACCTGTGCCATTCTCCCTGGCATCCCATCAGCACCACCAAGACAGGAGTAAGTGCTTCTCAGTGTCCCCAACCTCTACCCAAGCCAATGCTCAGCCACTATTTTTGGAATTTATGGCATTCTTTTTTATTTAACCGACACTTATGTAGGGTTTACTAGATGCTGGGCTCTGTTCTAAGCAATATACTAGTCTTAACTCACTTCATTCTTATACCAAGCCACGTGACGAATTCTATTACTACTACCATTCAACAGAGAAGAAAACTGAGCTTGCTCAACGTCACCAGCCAGGAAAGAACCAGAGCTGGGGTTCAGATTCTGGAGGTCTAGGATGGTTTGGATGTGAGGTGTTCCCCAAAAGCCCACGTGTGAGACGATGCAAAAGGTTCAGAGAAGACGGGCGCAGTGGCTCATGCCCGTAATCCCAGCCGCTCGGGAGACTGAGACAGGAGGATCGTGAGTTCAAAGCCACCATCAGCAGTGGCAAGGTACTAAGCAATTCAGTGAGACTCTGTCTCCAAATAAAATACAAAATAGGGCTGGGGATGTGGCTCAGTGATTGGGTGCCCCAGTACAAAAAAAAAAAAAAGTTCAGAGAAGAAATGACTGGATTATAAGAACTTTAACCCAATCAGTGAATTAATCACCTGATGGGATTCATTGAATGGTAATGAAGGGAGGTGGGGTGTGGCTGGAGGAGGGGGCATTGGGGGCGTGGCCTTGGGGTCTATATTTTGTATCAGGCCGTGGAGTCTCTCTGCTTCCTCATCACCCCTGAGCTGCTTCCCTCTGCCACACTCTTCCTCCATGTCTGCCTCACCTCACCTGAGGAATGGAGCCTGCTGTCTGTGCACTGAGACCTCTGAAACCATGAGAAGCTCAGTAAACCATTCCTCCTTTACAGTTGTTCTGATCAGTTCCTATTGTCACAGAAGCAAAAAAGCTGATCAGAACAAGGTCTGACTCCCAGACTGTGATCTGAACATGGCCCTGCACAGCCACCGGTGGCTGGAGAAATGAATGAATGAATGAGAAAAAGAGAGAGACGCTGAAAGGGTGGGAGAAAGGACCAGCTCCGTGGGTGGAAGGGCAGCACCAGGGTTCCCAGGGACAGCTCTTTTGGCTCCACAGGCAAAGGCCTGCTGTGTGGACCCCTGACCCAGCAGGCAGGCTCCTGGCTGGCTCTGCAGAAAGAGCCCCGAGTGAATGACCACTTTTGTGGATGGGCACACAGCAGGACACAAAGATGAGACAAGAAGCTGTGGCCCATGGCAACACCACCCCCCAACCCTGGCCCCAGGCAGGAGGGGAGTGGCCCCCCTTTGCTACGTGAGCCCGCGCACAGCCATACTCACTGTGGAGCAGCAGGACCCGGTCCTTGGTGTCAATCGACAGCTTCAGCTGACCTAAGGAAACCAGAGAAACAGCTCACCTCAGCTCCTCCAGTGAGCGCCATGGTGACGGGTGCTCCTCTGTTCACACCAGGCCATTCAGAGAGGCCCGCCATCTCTGGCTGGGAGGGCCCTCAGAAGCCACCTGCTCCCCCACCCCGCTGGTGCCACTGGGGTGATGGGGAGCCACTGTCACTGTGGATAAAGTGTAGGACCGACAGCAGGCACTCTCTCATCCCGTTGGAGGGCCCACAAGGGTGATTTCTGGCAATACCAGCTGGAATTTAAATGTGCACATCCTTCTTCCCAGCCATCTTCAGTCCAAGTTACCAACAGAGACAAGTCCCACACATGGGGGCACAAAAGCTGGCACCACAGCACTGCTTAAAGAACGGAGGGAAAAACCAGAAACACCGGACTTCCCACCTGCAGCTCTACTATGCAGTACCATGGACCGGCCCCATATGGCCTGGCAGGGGGGACTGTTGAGAAGTATTTTAACTTCTCAATAAACAAAGGCAGAACATATGTACCCCCTGTCCCTTTCTGTGAGGGTCTATGCACTGAAAGGGGGCCAGATGAACACAGTGATCACCTCAAGGGAAGAGGCTGGGAACCAGAGGGTCAAGAAGAATTCCAATCTAGGGCTGTTATTGTTGTTTTACAATATGAATATATCCATAATCTATAATTTAAAATAAAAAGAGAGCTGGATGCGGTGGTACATGCCTGTGATCCCAGAGGCTCGGGAGGATCTCAAGTTCAAAACCAGCCTCAGCAAAAGCGAGGCACTAAGCAACTCAGTGAGACCCTGTCTCTAATACAAAATAGGGCTGGGGATGGGGCTCAGTGGTCGAGTGCCCCTGAGTTCAATCCCCAGTACCCCATCCCCCCAAAAAATCAATAAAATAGGGGCTGGGGTTGTGGCTCAGCGGTAGAGTGCTCGCATAGCACACGCGAGGCCCTGGGTTCGATCCTCAGCACCACATAAAAATAAATAAATAAAATAAAGGTATTGTGTCAGCTACAACTAAAAAATAAATATTAAAAAAAATCAATAAAATAGACTTCTGGCAAAACTCAGCAAAGAAAGCTACAATTAAGTTTGGGAAAGAGGAAGATAACTAAGATATAAAGGTTCAGTGATTGAGTGCCCCTGAGTTCAATCCCCAGTACCCCCCGCAAAAAAAAAAAAAATTTTTTAAAAATTAAAAAGTAAAAAGAGAAGACAAAGAAAGAAAGAAAGAGGAGAGGAAGAAAGAAAAGAGGGAAGGAAGTCGGGAAGGGAAACTGTGAAGACAAGAAGCACCAGATAGACAGCCAGGGAGGAGTGGGGACCAGTGAGGGATTTTTTTCCTCCTTGATTTTCCTGTTTTTATTTAAAGAGAAGAACGTCAAAATAAAACTCCTCTTTCTCACGACGTATTAAAGTTCCCTCTTCAGGCTGGGGTGGAGCTCAGCACGCGTGAGGCCCTCGGCTCCATCCCCAGCACTGAAAATAAAAATCCCCCTCCGTCCAGCCCACTCTTCCTGCAACCTCAGAAGAGGCAGAATTCTGTGCACCCAGGGGACACGTGCTGGGGAGGTGAGGAGTCAGGTCTGCTCTGTCATTCTCAGCTGTCACCTCCAGCAACCGGGAGCTCTCTTCCCTTTCTCTTAAGCAGCTGGGTATTCGATGCTCCATCTATTGAGCCAACAGGGGCCTCTCAGTATCTTTCGCTCCCAGGATCTGGTTCTGCCAGCTCTGCATTGTCCCCTGTAGACCTGATGTCCAAAGTCCATCCACCATTCCTCATGACACTATGAGACCTTCCCTTGTCCCCCCAGTTGTCATCTCTGGACATGTCCCAGGAAACTGGGCTGGGGGCTGGGCTGGTGCTTCAATGCTGGCTGGAAGGGCAGGCAGGGTGGGGAGAACAAGGGGCTCTGCATGTCTCATAACTGCAGGAGTCCCCTAACCACGGTGACTGGCAATTCCTCGGAACTCTCACTGCAGGTGTTTGCTCCAGCCGGAAGCAGTTCAGACTCCAGCTAACTCGGGTCCTGCCCTTTGCCCATCTGAATCCTTGCTGCTCTCCTGCCCAGGACACAGGTCTTACAAGCCCAGGAGGCCTGTCCAGATCCAAGCCTGATGACTCTCCTGTCATTTAGGACCATGGTGTCCATGGCTGGGAGTGGAGCTAATGATAGTGGTCCCTGCACCCCTGAGCTGGGATCAGATAATGCTGGGAGTGAGCCCTTGGATGACAGGTTCCATGGGAATCCACTGTATTATTATCTCAAGGTCTGAGAATTACCACTTTGGGGGTTCACAGAGCTGAGAACCCTCCTATAAAAACTGTGCCCAATCCAGTATGGAGCAAGAAAGAAAAGCCTGGAAACAGACAAGGCCAGCAGCACACGGCAGATCTCGCCAACTCACAGCAGCTATGATTAACATGAGACATGTTTTCCAGAAACTTCTACCAAGGCAAAGCCAACTCTGGCCCAAATGCGTTTGAATTTCCAAAGCCCTGGGAAGAGGTGTGCTATCCGACCCCTATCACCCAAGAGTGGCCCTTCCCAGAAATCAAGATTGAGAAGTCTCCTAGCACAAATGTCTTGGTCACTAATTCTAGTTGGCAAACATGAGCCCCTGCATGAAGGAGGGCAGATCCAAACGTCCAGGAGCCTGTCCTCAGGGAGCTGCCAGCCCCGTGACTCAGACAGAGATGCAGACAAGGCCAAGGCTAGCACTAGAGTAGAGGATGGCCTGAGGCCAAGATTGACTCAGAAACCATGAGTCTGCAAGCTCCCTGCAGCTCCCCGGGCAGGCTCGGCCAAGCAGGGCTCCTCAGGGAGGGCCAGGGCGCCCCCTGTTAGAGCAGTGACCAAATCCAGTGACCAAATTCAACAGGCCAGGCTCCAGGCTCCCTGGTTCCTTCCCTCTGCGCTCACAAATGAGGGTAAAATGAGACCCTCCCTTGCACTGTGCCTGCCCCCTCTGTCCTCCCCATCAAATGTGCAAGTCAAGGCTCCTGAAATCATCTTGTCCAACTCTTCATTTGGTACCCAGAGCAGTCATGCCCAGAGTCCAGAGCCAGGACTGGAGGCCAGAGGTCAGCCCTGACCCCAGCACTGCTTCCTGTGTGACAGTCTTCTAGAACAGTTATCATTCTCAAATGAACACCAGCCCCATGGCATCTGCCAGAGTAGGTTCAGGAGGAGAGAGAGCCGCAGACCCTCAACAGGGTGCCTCAGTTTTTCTCAAGAAGTCAAGAGGAAGCCAGGAAGGGGGAAGGCTCTGAGAAGCGTCTCCAATTTAGAAAAATAAGCCGTCAGCAGGAGGAGGACTCTTCAGCTGGATAGGCACAAACTGATCAAGTGCTTCCCAAGTCCCCCATCCCTGGCCTTTCCAATAGTCCTGCTTCCTCCTACACTTGGGAGGGCTGTGGAGGGTGGGGGTGACCTATGAGAGTTCCCAGGAATGTTCAGGCTGAGGGCCTGAAGTCATCCTCATGAGGCGTGTACCGGGGCCCTGGAGGGGGCATGTTCCCATTTCCCATGGGCTGCAGTTGGGCATCACCTCTGGCTACAGAGGCTGGTGGGGACAGATACACAGGGTGGCTGCCACAGTGCTACCAGGAAGCAGTGACCTGGAGACAAAGTGAGAAAAAACAGGCCTTCCTAGGCCAGAGAAAATGCTGAATAAGAGTGAGTTTCAGAAAGCTTGGAGAGGGCAGTGAGCCCAAATTCTGTTGGGCACAGGATTGGGGGTACAGACTCACTGAGCACCAGGCCAAGGGTATGATGGGAGTCAGCTACAGAAATTAACTGGGCAGATCCCCAGCAGAGGACAACCACAGGGAGATGAAATCCGACTCTCAAGACAGTCAGGAAGAGATGTACTCAGAAAACAAAGACATGGGCTGCAGCCCTTGCTACACTCAGAGCTCAAAGGCATGTATCCCCAAGGAAGCCGCTGCCAACCTAGGATGTGCACAGAATTCATCCACCAGAGACCTGCCTGGTAGCATGAAGCAGCAGCCATCCCCAAACCCAATTCACCCCAAAAGCAGAGTGGTCATACTTGAAAAGTCACAGGAAGGATGATACCAGGACAAATGTACCAAGGAGGTCTGGTCTTCGCAGCCCAGCCAGCCGCTGATATCCATAAATTCACCCTCCATTTATGAGTCTGCCCTCAAGCCTACAAGCAAGATGAGGGAGTGTTTTTCCTTCCAGAAAGGTTGCTCTGGCCAGCAGAAGTCTTCTAGTCTACTCAGCATTACCTAATAAATTAACATTCAGATCTGTGGAATTGGATTCCTGTGGATCATTTGCAAAGGATTCTAGGTCCTTCCTGGGCAAGCCAGTAAATTAAACTTTGTGAATCTACCCCAGTCAGCATCTGAGGTTGGCTGGGCCATCACATCGCCAAAGCCAGCAGTCTGTGGGGCCCTGACTCAAGCATCTCACTGGCCTCCTGTGATCCCACACCAGTGGTCAGGGCCACCACGGTAAACCCCTGGGCTGGGCACACGCATGCGGAGAAGGAAGGTGGCCTTCTTTGGATGTTTACTGGGTACTCAACGTTCTACTACATGCTTTTTGTTTATTTTATTCCTCCAACAACTCCATGAAATCGTTCCTATTTTTAATCCTCATTTACAGGAAGGGAAACTGAAGGCTAAGAGTTAAACAAGCCCACCCAGGTCACACAGCCAGTTAAGTGGCAGAACTGGGATTGGACGCTAGGCAGTCCAGTCTAGGGAACCCATTTTTAGCCACTCTATCCCTGTGGGGGGCTCAAAATTGGTCTGCAACATCACTGATGCTCCTCCCTCCTGTTGTGAGATGGACTTAGTGGCTTGTTTCTAACAAAGAGAATGTGGTTGAGGTGATAATGGGTGATCCCCAAGAATAGGATGTAATAGGCATTATGGGCTCCTTTTAAAAAAAAAAACAGCTATATTGATTTAAATTCACCAATTGAAAGCATGTAATTCATTGTTATTTAATATATTCATAGGATT